CATTTGTGTATGAGCATGGGGGGCGGGAGCGCTATTTTAAACGTTTTTATTTTATTATTTATTTAAAACTTTTTTTACACTGTCCCTTTAATTTTTGTTTTATCAACGTTATTACTATCACAATGGATGGACAACACCCCCTGTGATAGCATGGGCTGTGACAAGTTTGGAGACACCTTTTTATGGAGAGATCAGGGGTGTATGAGACCCCATATCTCTCATCAGTTTGAGCAGATGCTTGTACAAGCCTGTAAGAGATTGCAAACACTAAACCTAAACCGGAAGTGACATAATCCTCGTCTCTCCTGAAACTGGAAGTGACATAATCCTCGTCTCTCCTGAAACTGGAAGTGACATAATCCTCGTCTCTCCTGAAACTGGAAGTGACATAATCCTCGTCTCTCCTGAAACCGGAAGTGACATAATCCTCATCTCTCCTAGCTTCTGATCTCACAGAGAGAGAGAAACAACATCAGTTCCACTTTCTCTGTTCAGTCCATGTGATGCCACCAATCAAAGGCGGCAGGGGAGAAGGGGTACCCCTTTCTGCCACCTGTAGAAGTGATCGAGTGGCTCTATAGCCACTTGAATCACTTCTACTGTAAATAAAATTGCCGGCTGAAAATGTTGATACTTGATGCCTGAGCAGGTAAAAGACATAAGCACCAGGGATGCATCACACTGAAGGTACCGTAAGTCATGTCCCTTATGCTTAGTTTGTGCTTTGATTTTTGTAGCTATATGTAGGCTTTACTTTTTTGGTAGGTAAACACATTAGAAATGCACCAAAAAAACATACATTATCGTAAGTGTATTTTGCTTGTTTATGATTTGCCGACACCATGTTCAATTTAATTTGTATTATTACAGATATTTATATAGCGCCAGTAATTTATGTATTGTACATTCACGTCAGTCCCTGCTCACAAGGAGCTTAAAATTTAAAGTCCCTATCTCACATACATACACATACTATGACCAAATTAGACAGGAGCCAATTAACCTACTAGCATGTCTTTGTAGTGTGGGAGATTTCCCTGTTTGGCCCCTTTCACATGAACGTTCCGATCCCAATAGTTACCTGGTTGGGATCTGAATCAAAATCCCAACCAAGGACTAACCACATTAATCCCAACCAAGGGTTAACCACCAAAATCCCAACCAAGGCCTAACCACCTAACCACTAAAATCCCAACCAAGTGTTAACCACCAAAACCCCAACCAAGGCCTAACCACCTAACCACTAAAATCCCAACCAAGTGTTAACCACCAAAACCCCAACCAAGGGCTAACCACAAAATCCCTACCAAAGGTTGTAATGGAACCAACCCCAGACTGCACTAGGGTACTTCCATTAGAGTACCGCTTCCCCGTCCGAACACTGACAACAGACACCACAGCTGACCACACAAGACCAGACGACACACAGGTGTTCGAACTTCACACCAGCAGACAGTCCCATCAGGAGGGAGGGCTGCTGAAGACACCCCCCGCCCTCACTAAGCTAATACACATAAACACATACATCCCATGATAGTTTGCTCCCAAGCAAGACAAACAATAGAACAATGGGATGCAACCACATGGCATTAAACAATCAACAACCCCCCACCCCACCTATACATGTCTACCCAATATTAGGACAGATCACCCTGTACCCCTAACAGGCACAGGGTGACTTACACATAATAGGGATATGGGGAGCTGAGACAGGGGTCTCCCCACCTCTCCGAAGTGCGCTGGGTTCCATGGGCCCCCCACCCAAAGAGTCTCCCATCACATATCTCCCCTTTTGGCTTTAGACTAACGCAGGAGGAGACCCCAAACAGGTTTACTCCGAAGTTATCTGTACTTCCAGTCCCTCATTGCCAGCACCCACACAGTACCCCAAGCAAATTGTCCCACACAAAGCATTACTTACCCAGCCAACCTCTGCCTCTTTCGTAGAACATACCCGCCGCTAGGGAGAAGTACGGGCTGGTCCTTCTCCCTGAAGTCCTCTCAGCTGCTGGAGAGAAGACAGGGTGGCTGGGCCGACTGACCAGCAACCCTGGGGTAGCCAGGTGGTGACTGTAGTCTCATCCACTTTGACTTGATGGACATCCCCCAGTGTTCGGAAAGTAAGGCTGACATCCTCCTATCCCAATGCCAGACCCTTTTCTGGGGTTGTGTCAGTGGAGACCGAAGTCCCATCCACGGACATCAGCTCAAGCTGCAGTTGTGAGGTGCCGATTATATCCTCTTCCTGTAGCTCCTGCAGTGCTGATTGTTATGGGCAGAGGTCAACAACGCCATGCCCTGATGCCAGCTCTTCTGCTGGAGGCACACCGGCTGGTTCCTCCTCAACAGAAAAGTCAATCAAATCCCCAGTCTCTGGAACTGGTGTCTGGGGATAGGGGTTCATCATTTCCTGTCCGTGGAACCCAGAAGATGTTACCAGTGCTGGGCAGAGTTCAGCAATGTTTGGCCCTGTTGCCAGCTCTTCTGCTGGAGGCTCACCAGGTTGTTTTTCCTCAGTAGAGAAGTCTATCAAATCCCCAGTCTCTGGAACTGGTGTCTGGGGCTAGGGGTTCACTATCTCCTGTTCGTGGAACCCAGAAGATGTTACCAGCGCTGGGCAGCGGCTAGTAGAGCTCTGCCCTTTTGTCAGCACTACAGGTTTGGGGACAGCAATCTCTGGAATTTCCACTGCTGATTCTTGGGCATGCTGCTGAACATGTTTTAGCAGTTGCCTGTATGCCCTTTCCAGATGCTGTTCTTTCATCAGCAGGTATTCCAGATCTGGTTCAAGCTCTGAGACCCTTGTGAGGCTCAACATAACCTCTGTCTTCCCACAGGTCCTCAAGGGTAGGTTCTCCTTCATCGCCAAACACAAAATGATCTGTAAGGCTCTCCCACAGCAATCCAGGGCCACTAAAGTCCTATCCCTCCGGAGAGCATTCTGTTATCACCCCTAAATATTTCTCTGTGTACCATTGCAGAGCCCGATATCGGTTGTCCAGCTCTATCTCCTGCTGGACCAGCTTGTCCAACTCAGTCACCCATTGCTCCTGAGGTCGCTCTCCCAGGAATGGCATCCGTAACTTCCGTTGGTCCCTGGCCCATTCCCCTGGGGTTGGATAGTACTTGTCCTTGTACATACCAGCAACCTGGAGGGCTCCACTCAAAAGCACCACCCAAATCCGCTGCCTGAGCTCCAGGTACTCATCCGCAGACACAGTCCTGGGGTATGTTGTAAGAACGATCTGCAGCAGCCCCAGGAACTCTGATGCCATGTCCATATCTCCACTGGGATGACCAACATCTACTTTTCTGATCTTGAATCCTGGTGGTGGTTTGAACGTGCTCACAGCTTGGAAGCACAATCCCACTGCTACCATCAATGTAACAGAACCGACCCCAACTGCACTTGTGTATTTCCGGCAAACTCCCGCTTTCCTGTCCGAACACTGACAACAGACGCCACTGCTGACCATACACCACAGAAGACGAGACGACACACAGGTATTCAAACTTCACACCAGCAGGCAGTCCCATCAGGAGGGAGGGCTGCTGGAGACAACTAAGCCTCCCCCCCCAACTTAGCTAATATACATAAACACATACATCCCATGATAGTTTGCTCCCAAGCAAGACAAACAATAGAACAATGGGATGCAACCACATGGCATTAAACAATCAACAACCCCCCACCCCACCTATACATGCCTACCCAATATTAGGACAGATCACCCTGTACCCCTAACAGGCACAGGGTGACTTACACATAATAGGGATATGGGGAGCTGAGACAGGGGTCTCCCCACCTCTCCGAAGTGCGCTGGGTTCCATGGGCCCCCCACCCAAAGTGACTCCTGCCACAAAGGTTAACCACCATAATTCCAACCAAGGGCTAACCATCAAAATTCCAACTAAGGGCTAACCGCCTAAATCCTAACCAAGTCCTAACCACTAAGCCACTGTGCTGCCATGGACATGAGCTCACATAGTGCTGCCACCAGCATCAGTGCTAACCACCAAAATCTCAAGCAAGAGCTGACCACCAAAATCCCAACCAACCAACCTAAATCACAGCCAAGGGCTAACCACCTCAATCCCAATGAAGAACTAACCAAAAAAAACGCAGCCAAGGGCTAACCACCAAAATCCCAACCAAAGGCTAACCACCAAAATCCCTACCAAAGGGTAACCACCAGAATCCCAACCGAGGGCTAACCACCAAAATCCCAACCAAGAGCTAACCACCAAAATCCCAACAAAGGGCTAACCTCCAAAATCCCAACCAAGGCCTAACCATTAAGTCACTGTGCTGTCATGGACATGACCCCCATAGTCCTGCCACCTGCGTCAGAGCTAACCACCAAAATCCCACCAAGGGCTAACCACCAAAATCCCAACAAAGGGCTAACCTCCAAAATCCCAACAAGGGGCTAACCACCAAACATTCCAACAAAGGGCTAACCTCCAAAATCCCAACAAGGCTTAACCACCTAAATCCCAACTAAGAGCTAACCACCAAAATCCCAACTAAGAGCTAACCACCAAAATCCCAACCAAGGGCTAACCACCAAAATCCCAATCATGGGCGAACCACTAAGCCACTGTGCTACCATGGACATGAACCCACATAGTGCTGCCACCAGCATCATCGGTCCCTGGGCAGTTTACTATATGAACTGATAAATTACTACAATATTAAAACCACTGGGGCAAGGTGGGATTCTTGGTGGCCCATTCTCCTGTCTCTGCAATCATTGGGTACATGATTTAACTCTGATGGCGTCAAATTAACAAATAAGCATTGGGTGAACTTATTCTTTTATAGTCCTCAAAAATGTTGGTTGATTCTGTCTGCCATTTATGATGTCATTAAAAGTGTTTGAGGACCACAAATAATTTTATAAAAAGAAAATAAATAATGAAGTCTGACCTTACTACAAGTCAAATTATTCTAAATGTTTCTTTTTTTTTCTGTATATGTTTTTAGACTAAACATGGCGATGCAGCCAGCTATCGTGAATCAAAGCCATCTGGTAGTGTCTGATGCCAACGTCTCAGCTTTGGGATTCCCAGGCCCCTGGAGAGAACCTACATTCACAGCAGCTGCTAAAGTTCGTGTAGGTGTCACCTGCTGCTTCTTCCTGATAGCGTCGTGCAGCAACGTGGCTGTTCTGTGCAGCATCAGTGGTAAAAGATGTAAGTCTCACCTCCGGATTCTCATCCTCAGCCTCTCCGTGGCCGACTTGCTGGTGACTCTCTTGGTCATGCCGCTGGATGCCATGTGGAATATAATGATTCAGTGGTATGCAGATGAACTTTCCTGCAAGATCCTTAATTTTGGAAAGTTGTTTGCCATGTATTCTGCAGCATTAGTTCTGGTGGTAATCAGTCTGGACCGCCACTGGGCAATCTTGTACCCCCTCAGCTTCACCAGCGCTGGACAACGCAACCGTATCATGCTATGGACAGCTTGGATCGGCAGTCTGCTACTGGCATCACCCCAGGTAGAGGTCAATGATTTGTTAATACATTAAAATTTACCGGTATAATTTAAAGAGGAATTCTGTGTCCCCATTATGGAGGTTTCCCCTAATTTGTCATGTGGCCACCAGAACTGGAGTTCTACCCTACTCTTTCCAAAATTTTCAAAAATCTGAACTCCAGGTTAATTAGTTACATCAGTCCAGCTTGGATATCTCATACATGTAGGACAGCTACGGAAGTAGAGAATCACTGTAGCAGTTGCTAGCTACTATAATGATCGCTGAGGTCTTCCAGGTCCTATTCTGTTACTGCCCTGCCTCTCCACCTCATCCATTCAAAGAACGCCTTGTATTCATTGAAAAAATACAAGGTATTCTGTGAATGGCAGCTGTGACAAGTGAGTAAGCCCTATGGTTACTAGAAGAGGAGCCGCTCAGCACAGGACCTGGAAAAAATATACCTGTAGTTAGGGCTCAAGTACAGAAAAACTTTTCTGAATGGTGGAAAACTGACTGCTAGAAAACATAGGTTAAAAACGTCAGTTTAGTCGCGTTTACCTACCGCGTTTATGCGCGTTTAGCCACGGTTATGCACGTTTGCGTTTAGAAGCATCTTTAAAAGATAATCTCAGGAGACCCTCCTAAATACCCAGAATACACTGAAAAATAGTAAATAATTAACCATTTCTGACATTTTGTGAGAAATAGAGAGAGCAGAAGCAGAGAGAGCACTACTTTCTGATGGGTGTTGTAATTGTAGCAAAAGTGGCTTGTGAAGCGTTCTCGGCGCTGTGGGAGGAGCTACATTGTGCTTTAATGCCTGTAATGCCTCGGATGCATTCTGGAGTGCTCACAACACTCCTTGTGCTCTTTTGCTGTGTTCCAGTACAGTTCTGTGCAGAAATAATGCAGCGCATTCTACCATTTATTCTTGCACACGAAACCTGCAACTGACTGCGCTGGTGTACCGGGTCCATTTGAATACATGGAAAACGCTGTGCATGCATTTTTGATGAAGAAAGTTGTGGATGAAGGTTACTATAGAGGGCCGGCTGATGACAGTTGTGGGCTGCAGTCAGGTGTTGTAGAGGTGAATTGACAGGTGACTTTCAGACAGGGTGCAGAGATGAGCCACAGATGGTGCATGGATTGAGTTGCGGACAGGGGGTGCAGAGGAAAACTGTGGCTGGGGGGGGGTGCAGAGGAAAACTGTGGATGGGGGGTGCAGAGGTGAGCTGTAGCTGGGGGGTGCAGAGGTGAGCTGTGGCTGGGGGGTGCAGAGGTGAGCAGTGGCTGGGGGGGTGCAGAGGTGAGCTGTGGCTGGGGGGTGCAGAGGCGAGCTGTGGCTGGGGGGGTGCAGAGGTGAGCTGTGGCTGGGGGGGTGCAGAGGCGAGTTGTGGCTGGGGGATGCAGAGGTGATCTGTGCTTGGAGGGGTGCAGAGGTGAGCTGTGGCTGGGGGGTGCAAAGGCAAGCTGTGGCTGGAGGGGTGCAGAGCTGAGCTGTGGCTGGGGGGTACAGAGGTGAGCTGTGGTTGGGGGGTGCTGAGGTGAGCTGTGGCTGGGGAGGTGTAGAGGTGGGGGTGCAGAGGTGAGCTGTGGCTGGGGGTGCAGAGGCGAGCTGTGGCTGGGGGGGTGCAAAGGTAAGCTGTGGCTGGAGGGGTGCAGAGCTGAGTTGTAGCTGGGGGTGCAGAGGTGAGCTGTGGCTGGAGGGGTGCAGAGGTGAGCTGTGGCTGGGGGGTGCTGAGGTGAGCTGTGGCTGGGGGTGCAGAGGCAAGCTGTGGCTGGGGGGTGCAGAGGTGAGCTGTGGCTGGAGGGGTTCAGAGCTGAGTTGTGGCTGGGGGGTGCAGAGGCAAGCTGTATCTGGAGGGGTGCAGAGCTGAGTTGTGGCTGGGGGGGTGCAGAGGTGAGCTGTGGCTGGAGGGATGTAGAGCTGAGCTGTGGCTGGGGGGTGCAGAGCTGAGCTGTGGCTGGGGGGTGCAGAGCTGAGCTGTGGCTGGGGGGGTGCACAGCCGAGCTGTGGCTTGAGGGGTGCAGAGGTGAGCTTTGGCTGGGGGTGCAGAGCTGAGCTGTGGATGGGGGGTGCAGAGGTGAGCTGTGGCTGGGGGGTGCAGAGCTGAGCTGTGGATGGGGGGTGCAGAGGTGAGCTGTGGCTGGGGGGTGCAGAGGTGAGCTGTGACTGGGGGGGTGCAGAGGGTGAGCTGTGACTGGGGGGGTGCAGAGGCGAGCTGTGGCTAGGGGGGTACAGAGTAAAGCTGTGGCCAGGGGGTGCAGAGCTGAGCTGTGGCCGGGGGGTGCAGAGCTGAGCTGTTGGGGGGGGGTGCAGAGCTGAGCTGTGGCAGGGGGGTGAAGATGTGGGTTGCAACCCCCCAGCCGCTGCTCAGCTCTGCACCCCCCAGCAACAGCTCAGCTCTGCACCCCCCAGCCACAGCTCAGCTCTGCACCCCCCAGCCACAGCTCAGCTCTGCACCCTTTCTGCAACTCACCTGTAAATTTACCTCTGCAACACCTGACTGCAGCTATACACATCCCCCTCCCCCTGCCCCCCCCCCCCCCCCCCCCCCACTGCCCTCATATGGTTAGCTAGCTTTGCAGAACACAGCTGTCAACAGCCGGCCCCTCTCTATAGTAATTCCCGTTTTGGGTCCTATCTTCCAAACGCACTCACACAGCCTCTTCCCCACTGGTCGGCGATCACCCCTTGGGCATCGGCTTCCATGCAATAGGCTGCAGGATGAGATGCCCCGCCCCTAAACACACTGCACACTGCGCTCACAGATAACTGTCCCTTCCCTGTCCCGCAGTGAGTACAGAGGTAGGGAGGTTCTGTGGGCGCGGATCGTCACTTACAAGAAGGACTGTCACTTGCAAACACAAAAGCCACACATCTGTGTTGATAAGAGACAGTAGACATTGGTGTGCACAGGGCCAGCACCAGAGGGTGGCGCAACGGCGTTGCGCCACGTCTCAGCTGAAAAAATCTAGGTCACAACTAGGTCTTATTTTCGGGGTCGGTCTTATACTTCAGCAATTCCCAAAAATAGTACTAGGTCTTATTTTCGGGGAAACAGGGTATATATATGTGTGTGTGTGAGATTTCGCTTTTCTAGGCAGGGGGGGGGTCACGCACTCTCATTGGCTCCCTGACATGCCAATCACCAGGTCCCATGCCTGTTATGAAGTACGTTGGACTGTCTACTCTGCAAAAAGGGGTCATTTGGGGGATATCTGTACCATCCTGACATTTGGGGGATATCTGTACTGTCCTGACATTTGGGGGATATCTGTACTGTTCTGACATTTGGGGGATATCTGTACTGTTCTGACATTTGGGGGATATCTGTACTGTCCTGACATTTGGGGGATATCTGTCCTGTTCTGACATTTGGGGGATATCTGTACTGTCCTGACATTTGGGGGATATCTGTCCTGTTCTGACATTTGGGGGATATCTGTACTGTCCTGACATTTGGGGGATATCTGTACTGTTCTGACATTTGGGGGATATCTGTCTTGTTCTGACATTTGGGGGATATCTGTACTGTTCTGACATTTGGGGGATATCTGTACTGTTCTGACATTTGGGGGGATATCTGTACTGTTCTGACATTCTTGGACCTCAAGAAATTAGATTGGCTGTCAGTACTTCAGGATTGATCAATATTCAGATCTATACCATAGTTTGTGAACTCTATAACTTTCCTACAAACTAAATAATACATCCTAATTTGGGTTATTTTCACCAAAGACATGTAGCAGAATACATCTCGGCCTAAATTTATGAAGAACAATTATTTATTTGTAAACTTTTATAACAGAAACAAAGAAAAATGTGGGGTTTTTTTCAAAATTTTTGGTCTTTTTTTTGTTAATTTAGCAAAAAAAATAAAATCCCGGCGGTGATTAAATACCACCAAAAGAAAGCTCTAGTTGTGTGAAGAAAATGATAAAATTTTAGTTTGTGTACAGTGTTGTATGACCGCGCAATTGTCATTCAAAGTGTGAGAGCGCTGAAACCTGAAAACTGGCCTGGGCAGGAAGGGGGAAAATTGCCCGGTATTGGAAACGGTTAATCACCACGGAGTTTTTTATTTTCTGCTAATTAAAAAAATAGAGCCCTGAAACTTTTGAAAAAAAAAAAACACTTTTCTTCATTTCTGTTATAAATGTTTGCAAGTAAATAATATTTCTTCATAAATTTAGGTCAAAATGTATTCTGCTACATTTGTTTGGTGAAAATAATAATAATAATTGAATTTGTATTTTTTTCAAATGTTTCTATTATTATTTTTTTCTTTTATTACATTTTTTCTTTTTTTTTACTATTTTATTTTTCAGCGCACCATACCATAGTAACATTGAACTACTCTGGGCAAGTGATCAGGTTTTTTTTTTTTTTTTTATAACACATTATGATTGCTAATACCGATGTATTTCATTGATATTTGCAATCATTGTTACTGAATGAAACTGATTCATTCAGTCTTTTGTTGTGATTAGGCAAAGCACATGATCACATGATACAGATGGGCTGTGATTGGCCCTGTCTGTATCATGTGACTGCCTTGATCAGTCACAGCTTACAACATAATTGTATACAATGGATGGCATGGCAGGAAGCCATCCATTGTATACAATAGACATGTCATCTGCTGTGATTGGTCACAGCGGTCACATGACACTGGACACAGCCGATGACAGATCAGGCCACTGCGCGGTCCCACGGCCGCATGACCCACGGCCGCATGAGTGGCTCGTTTTGACAGAACATCATATGACGCCCAGTCACAACGGCGAGTGTCCCGTCCGGCTGTCAATCTGCTATAGGCCGGGCGGGAAGGTGTTAACATGATATCCTATGGGACAGGTTCACATCCAGGAGCGGACTGACCATTTGAGCACTCGGGCACTGCCCGAGGGCCCGGGGTCAGTAGGGGGCCCCATGAGATGCCCCTGGTACCTTTTTTATAGGGTTTTTTGAGTGTGGGCAAGGACACAGGGGCCCCATGATCCCCTATTGCCCA